CTGAAACTTTGTATATGTTTATGATTCAAAATATAAAAGATTTTATTGCTGAAATAATGGCTGGAAGTCGTGGATTCAGGTACACCAAGTCCTCACCAAAACGTCAATCAACTGAGGACTCGACGTTTCGGTGAGGACTCGATGAGTCCTAATGATGCCCAAGACCTCGATTGAGTCCTCAGTAGATCGACGTTTCGGTGAGGACTCGACGAGTCTTAATGATGCCCAAGACCTCGATTGAGTCCTCGGTAGATCGATGTTTCGGTGAGGACTCGACGAGTCCCAATGATGCCCAAGACCTCGTTTGAGTTCTTGGTAAATCGACGTTTCGGTGAGGACTCGATGAGTCCTAATGATGCCCAAACTTAAGTTGAGTCCTCGTTAGATCGACGTTTCGGTGAGGACTCGATGAGTCCCAATGATGTCCAAGACCTCGATTGAGTCCTCGTTAGATCAACGTTTCGGTGAGGACTCGACGAGTCCCAATGATGCCCAAGACCTCGTTTGAGTCCTCGGTAGATCGACGTTTCGGTGGGAACTCGACGAGTCCCAATGATGACAAAGACCTCAGTTGAGTCCTCGGTCAATCGAAGTTTTGGTGGAGACTTGACGAGTCCCGATGATAACTAAGACCTCAGTTGAGTCCTCAGTTGATTGACGTTTTGGTGAGGACTTGATGAGTCCCAATGATCACCAGACCTCAGTCGATCGACATTTCGGTGATGACTCGATGAGTCCCAATGATGACTAAGACTCAGTGAATCCTCGGTCGATTGACATTTCGGTGAGGACTTGATGAGTCCCAATAATCACCAGACCTCAGTTGAGTCCTCGGTCGATCGACGTTTCGGTGAGGACTCGATGAGTCCCAATGATGTCCAGACCTCAATTGAGTTTTCGGTCGATCGACGTTTCAGCATCATATCAGTAAATCAAACCATAAGTAGGAGTATACATAGTACACTATCTATTTACTTATACGAAGCACACTAGACCAGTCTGAATGATCTACTTCAGGTTCATTCTTCTATCTATTACTTATACGAAGTACTTATACGAAGTACACTATCTATTTACTTATATGAAGTACACTAGTAATTATTGTACCAGTTCGAATGATCTACTTCAGGTTCATTAATTTAATTTCGGATTTCATAAAAATTATCATGTGACCCTAGATCACCCTAACGTTTTTGAGTCCTCCATCAATTGACGTTTCGGTAAAGACTTAATAAGTCCTAATGATTCCAGACTTCTATTGAGTCCTTGGTCGACCGATATAATTATTCACTAAATCAGATATCTTACGATCCAGCAGTATAGATTGGGGTGAAATAAAAATTAAATTTTAAAATATTTCAACAGTAGAATTTAAATTCAACTGTTGAAATTGAAATTATTTTTAGTAACCAAAATTAATTTTTAATTGCTAAAACTAATTCAACAATTGAAATTAATTCTACAGTTGAAATTCAGAATAATTATATTTGGTGCAGGGTGCACCATGTGCACCCTATAGTAAAACAAATATATATAAAAATTAAAATTAAGTTTAAAAAGATTAGAGTTAGGTTTAGAGTTTAGGTTAAGATTGGGTCAGAGTTAGAATTTTATGGAGATTCTTTTTATTAGTTACATAACAGGGGTTACCCTAGTAAAATTTTGTATAACATAGAAGGGTGCACATGGTGCAGGGTTTACCCAAAATAAATGCTCTAAAATTAATTTAATTATTAAAATTAATTCAACAGTTGAAATTAATTTAATTAGTGAAATTAATTAAATAATCAAAATAAAAATTAAAAAATTACAATAAAACACTATATGAAAGAAGTCAATAGAAAAAAGACAAATTTTTTCTAAGTAAAAGTTTTCTCAACTTAGTTTTCTCAACTTTAAATTTAAATATCTCAACAACTATCTAATTAAATTTAATAAATTTTTTTATTTTAATTCTTTACAATCTCAAGATTAATATAAAAAAAATTTTATTATATTTATCTTATTTTTTGTTTATCTAGATTGGGGTCTAAAACTTATTAAAGACTTGATTTCCAACCATTATTGAATAGCAAAAACTAGCCAAATAAATTTAACTTATATTATTAAGAATAGTTTCAATTAAACCTATCCTTTTAAAGTTCTAAACTAGTACTATCTAACTAAAATCTAAAAAAAGACAAAAAAACAAAAATATATAACCAAAAAAGAAAAAGTGTATTTAAAACCCATGCTCATGTTAAAAAAATTATATATTGTATGACTAAATGAAATAATGATATATTTTATAAAACTTAATTGTCTATTTTACTAACTCTATTTTTAGATTACTATTTAATTCACCATAGATGTTAGTTTTATTAGAGGTGTCTATATGTCATACTGCTGTTGCAACCAGCTTTTGCCAGTTCATATCTCAAGCCAGTATTAGATTTGCTGCCATCACTAACTTAGATTAGTCTATATCTTAAGCCAGACTCGTATTGATCACATGTTTACTTTATGTGATATGTTGTGTTTTTGCATATCATTATACTACAACAAGCTTCCAAATCCCACACTTTTTTATAAAAAATGTCAATAAGACTAGGCAATAAAGAAAGTCACAGATAGTGGATTATTCAAAAAACCAAACAAAAAAGATATTTCTAGTTGTTCATCTTGTTTTTTAACTTTTTAATAGTTTAACTAGCATCGCACACTCCAGTAGAAATTATAGAATGTAGAAATTATTATTATAATTTCACCCCCATCTATATCCAGCAGTCAGAATTTGACGAAATCGAATGGTATTAGATTCGATTTATTCTAAATCAAAGATATCTTACAATCCAGCAGTCAGAATTTGACGAAATCGAATAGTTAGATTCGATTTATTTTAAATGTGTGTAAATTATTTTAATCTATCCAATAAAACGTGTACTTAATCTATTAATAATTTTTGCCTTGTTGTTACATAGAACTCAATCAGATTGCTGAATCTCGTGTAACCAAATCAAAAAAAAATAACTCAAATAACTCAAGATTTTATTATAAAAATCATACTTCGACTTCTAAACAAAACTTCTCAGTATCAAATTTTACATATATTTAAACTTCTTTAATTTAACCTAACGCCAGCCCTAACCTTTAATATTAAATTTATTTACTTGTAATAAAAATTTTATAATACCGGGTAATCTCACTTAAGGGTGAAAATTATAATCTCAATAAATATACTTTGTTAAAACGTATAACTTTATATTTAGGGCATATAAAAACGAGTTAACTTCTCTTTTTACTTTGCTTTCATATAAATGTTGTACCTCAAATCGATTTTTGCCTCAGGTGATAACTAAGGCACATTGATTGTTTGGCCTGTATTAACTGATCAACATTAATTGATCAGAGTCACACAACATAAATATTGTTTTGTTTCTAAAAAGTAATAGATCTTAGTTTTGCACTATTTGTTCTTTGTGTACATGAATTACGGGTTTGACTACCTTAGATCTCTTATAAACTTCGTCTTTAATAATTTTAATATAAGACGAGACAAGTAAAAGCTTTTTTTGAAGTGAACTTAATAGATAAGTTTCGAAAAATCACGAGAATACGAAGTACTTTAAACTGTATAAAAATTTTTAATTAAATCGGTTAAGTCATCAGACCGTCCCAAATATGGATGATTGTCATATGCTAGCCAGCCAATCTAAAGCATTAATTTAAAAAAATTAAGCGATGAAACGAACAAAATCAAAAAAATTTATATTTAAAATTCAAAGTAAATATCACTGAATATTATTACATATAGAGAAGAATGCTTTTATTGATTTAGATTATTTTAAATTAGATTATTTTAAATGATATTATATACTAATTATAACTATCGTTATTTAAAAACTTTAATAATCTCTACATTCGATTCTATATCTAATAAACTTGAAAGTTTTACCGTACATGTACTCTTATTCTATTGAAGAAACCTTTAAATATTAATGATTTTGTTCTACACATATTGTATCTACATAAATCTATTACAATCCTAAAAAACTCTTAAAACAAAAACAAAAAACGAAATTAATATCTGTTATATATATTTTTTAATTTTTTTTTTAAAAAAAATTCTATAACACAACAGGTAAAAAGATTATACAGTACTGGACAGCAA